GCACATTGATCTTCAAGAGGCAGAAGAACAATTTAGTGACGGAACAGTGCTAATCAACTCGATCTTGCACCAAGTGGACTTATAAAGGCGACTCAACATTAGATCCAAGTGGACACAGAAATAAGCAAAGTTGCATACATAATAAAACTCCTTCTTTACCGCGCTGTTTTCAAACATATAGTTGGCAAAAACATGCCATTATTTGTAAAAAATAGTGAGAAAGCAAGCTCAAGTACTTTTTGAGAGTTTTTGCATCCTACAGTGGTGATATAGTGGGACTTACCTTTCTGGTAAGAGGATTCGCAAAGCCGCTGGCAGTCATCTAATTTCTCGAAATTGTTTTCATTCCCCTTACAACCACCGTAGTAGAAGGCTTCACAACGACCGGTGGAGCGGTTGTAGGTGTAGCGCTGAATGCTTGCTTTGCAGGGACCCACTTCCGTCGGTAGGTTGCACACATCCTCGCTCTGATCTACAGTAAAATCCATTAACTCAAAATCAAGCATTATAATCTTGTTTTTTTAATGATTTCCTGATTAATAACAAAGTAATAATATGTTAAATATTTGGTTTCAAACGCCTTGACATTGTCAGCAAGGTTTTGCGCTATAGGGTTGTGTATTCTTACTTCTGTGAAATAATGATTCATTTCATATCATGCAGTAGCTTTACAACCTGTACTCTAATAGCGACTTTCTAGACAAATGAATGCCTTATTTTTTTTACAGCTCTTGAATTGACAATTTATAAAGCAGACTTTTTAACTTTAAACTTGGCCATCACAAAATCCTGTTTCATATTTGCTCCCCCACAAATTTCAGCTAGGAAATTTCCCGAAAAATATTATATGCATGCAACTGAAAACGGAACCGAACATATCATGTGAACTGTGTCAAAATGTAGCACGATGCCGGTAATGGGAAAGAAAGGATTTCATTTTGTAACGTGACTGAAATAACGCTATGCAAGTTTTGAATTTGCGCTCATCTAAAATTTGTATTTATGCATTTATTTCATCGCTAAGCATCTACCATTATAAGGCCAGTAAATTAGACATGTTTGTTCACACGTAAAATGACTACGTGTGTAGTTGAAGGACTACTAGGAGGAAGTGTAAGAAGCGTACCTGAAACTGCACCAGAATAGACGGGCACGTCCACGCAGTAGAGCGAACAACCGTAATTAGACCGGCAGTCCTCCCTGCAGTAGCCCTGGGCACCCATACTCACGGCAAACTTCTGCCCTTTGGCCATCAGACTGTTCTCCATGAGCAAGCAAGAGCTCTTCCTCACCGCAGTCTCTCCACTGCCATACACTCGTATAGATATCGTCTGACCCTCCTCCGACTTTAAGTTGTATGTCTGAGGTCCGAATGTTACTTTTCCTGAACCCGACTTCTCATGTACCATGCTTCGATCCAGCTTATTTTCTGTCTGTAGGAGTCCATCAGAACCTATTAAGCGGCTACTTAGAGGCATGAATTGACCATCAGGAGTAATCTCCATATTCAATGATCCTCTAAATGTGTCTTCCGTGGAGCTTGATCTCCAGAGACTTCCACGGATACCAAGGCGACCGTGGTTCGAAACGTCGAGAGTAAAGGTGAAATTAAAGGGTGTAGAGAAGCCTGCAGTCAGTGAGAAGATGTTAAACAGCCGAGAGGTCATTCTGCCACTATCCTGACTGCGAGGAAGTGCGAGAAAGGTGTTGAGAATGCTGAAAATGGGCGCAATGACGTGGATGGAAGGGAAGTTCTGGGGCTCGTCGTGGATACCGCTCTGAGAGAGAATTGTGTCGCCCTGGCGCACCTCAGTGCTAAGGAAAACCGAAGCGGAAACCAATTTTCCATCCGCTGTGGCCAAATTCATGCGTAGATCCCCATCAAAGTAGATGCGTCGAGGCTTCTCAGGAGCTAGGAATTCAACGTCATTAAATCATGATTAAATGAGCCTGTGATAGAGGGGCATACGTGGGAACGGCAAAAGGGACCTCCTTTCGATATTTGCTGGTGAGTCCTGTGATAATCGTTATAATTTTTGCGAAACAGCTTTTACTTCCACAAATTGAACGTTCGCTAACTTGGAGTATTTGGGGTCTATTAGTTAAAAGTAGCCGAACTAATTCTGTTGACTGTTACGCCGCTTTTCCAAATAATTATGATGACAGGCAAAATGATATCTTGTTTGTGAAAAAAAAGGAGTGAATCTGTTGGAAAATGCAAATACATTGATAAGAGGTAATTTGGTAAACGAGGGAATTGTCTTGAAGAATGCAACTCACCAACTGACCAGCAGCCCTCTTCTCCGCCCCCATAATAGTTGGGTGGACATACACAACAGCTCTGGCCATCAAAATAAAAGCAATCTGCCATCGAGTTTGCACAGCTACTGCTACTGCAGCGCTCAAACTGTCGCTCGAGATCCGTTGTTAGTCTGACATCATCTAGGAGAGCAGTAAACAAAATTGCCCCAGTCCATAGAAGCAAATTGTAGTTGATCCAACAGTAATTGGAGATTTGTATTCTTTGTTTTCTTTTATTCGTGCACAGTGATGTAGGAAGATAGTTTATTTGAAAGCAATTACAATTAGTCTGAGTGGATTGTTTATTTGATAATAAGTGAGCTATAATTGACGCTAAGTTAGTACATTTACTGTACTTACCATCTAAAGTGGATTTGGCTTGGGAGCTTGAGTAGACAGTTGTATAGGGTGCGGCGGTCTCGGTCACCGCAGTCGTGAAAGGTTCACTGACAAAGGGTGTTTTCGCACTGGGTGCAGTCATATTTGGACAATTTTTCGCACTTGTCTCCAAGAAATCTTCTGTGGCCATGCGGATTTTCGACTGAGCTGCAACATCAACGTCAATTGGGGCATCGTACAGCGGGAAAAGCCATTCGCCGGGAACCGCGATATTTGACTCCCTGGTAATGAGGTGAGATGAAAAACAGTCGCATATATTTCTACTCAGTAAACATATCAACTAAAATATACTTGTCACTCTTAAAATGCTAGTCTCCACACAAACGGAATTCCAAAATGGTCTCGAAGGGTTCTCGAGTGCAATTAAATAAAACGCCGTGTTGAAGGTATTCATTAACGTAAAATTCACTTATTTTTTCTTATGTTAGGTATTCGCATCTACCTTTTTCCCCGAAATTCGCTCCTGATACTGTCCTTTCAGGGAGAAAACCCACAAAGCCATAGGTTCTGGTTGTAGCTAAGCCAATAATAGTTGAGTTAAGGTTCTGCAGTAGGGCATGATCAGGTTCCCAAAGGGTCGCTTAGAATGTTTTCCTGTGATTTTTTCCATATTTTTAGTCCTTTCTTAAAATTGACGTACAATTTGCCAAATCAACTCAGAGTTGGTTTGAGGTAAGTTAAAGACCATGTAAGATTACCAATTTGCTATTTAAGTGGCATGGCGAAATGAATTAATTCATTAAGCCGAGAATCCGATCATAATAAAGTAGTGAGTCCCGATTTTCTAAATGCTCTTACAACTACGGCTTCCTCATTTCTAGACTGCCAAGGAATGACAATCAACTCAGACGTAATTATTTAGCATAGATTTAAAAGCCACACACAATTCAAGACTTCAAGGTTTGCAGTTCTAGTGCAAACCTTCTGTTTAGTGAAGCAACCTTCAACCGACAGTCAGTCCAGGTATCGGTCAAAAAATACTTATTTGGACAGAGTTTAGACACAGACCACTGGTCTTAGTTTTGACAGACCAAGTTGTCATGGTAAACCATTTTTTTTAAAACGGCGCCATCTCTTTAAAACAAATTGGTGAATGAATCAAGCATTAGTAGTTGGCATGGCTACTGGAATGTTGGAAAAAGCACACGTCGGTAACTCATTTTTTTCTCAAAGAATGATACCGACTTAACTACCGAATAGTTTCAACCTTCTTTACCCTGCGATAGTGATGCACGTTGGGATGTCAGTGAACAAAAAGGATCAAGACAAACGCAATAAACATTCATTGTGCAAAACATCCGCCTTCTGCAATAAAATAGATTGGAGAAATTTACTTAAAAATCCACTTACAATTATAAAGAATTAGGTAATTTCAAGATCTAACCACATCCAACCAGTCATAGCTGCTTGGAGTTTATTAAATTTTCTGCGTAAGAGTAAAAAACCAGCAGAGCTTCTTTCTTTCTTCAAACAGAAAATTTAAGTTCAGACTCCTTGAAATCGCACTTTTCTCAGAATAGCTGAACAACGTGGCGAGGAACTGCACGGTCTTACGAATTCATTTTAATGCAAACCAAGGATTGATGTCCCTGACGTACTACCCAGCCTCTTAAAAGACAAGTAGTTATGTCAAAAATTAACCTTGTCCAAGCAACTCGATTATTTGCGCTTGCGTGTGAAGAAGTTTGTGACCGACTTACTCATTCCAGACGTTGGGCTCGATGTGCATGTTGTTTCGGGGCAGCTGTGGCGTGGCGACTCCATGAACGAATATTCCACCCTCGGGAGGCAGACTCGAGGTCGAATGATCGGCTGTCCACTGGATGTTCTCGTACTGAAAGACTGCGTACGACTTCTTCTCCATTCTCAACAGCGCCAACGTGAACGTGTTCACCTCAAGGTACCAAAAGTGTTGTTGATAAATCACGTTCAGCCCTATACGGTAATGTGCGCTTTGGAATGAGTTAAGAATACACTTACTTCAGCAATAATGACACAAATAAACTGACAAGAAAGAGAACATAATGTCTTATTTTGGCGAGGGATTTTGAGATCTCTTTATGCAGTAGGAAAAGGTAGGAGTATCGATAGATGTGCGGATGAAGGAATGGATAGGTAAAGTAGGAATGGAAAAATGAAATTGAGGAGGAACTCACCAGAGGATGCGAACTTGGAAAGCAGCCCATGTTCTCCCAGGTGATAGTGAGGATGTAGTCCGCGACAAATCTCTTCGTGGAATATGGCGCAGCAGTGTCGATGATATTTCCGATACGGGAGACATGGTCCCACACGCAGGTGCTCGACTCCACCTCATTTACGTCAAGGTCCCTGCGTTTTAACATACCAAACATAACATGGTCTCAGTTTTCACTTTCAATGAATCACTTCTCCACAAAATAAAATTGGCTGCCGATGCCATACTGTCAATAGTACCGTGGATTATGGTTTATACATCATTATGCTCTTTTGATTTTAATCTTCCCAAATGTTATTTATTGGGAAGAAAGTGAAAGATTCCTTGTTAAAAGGTCCTGGAATTGCTGTATTTATGAGAGCGTTATTGCAGTGTTTGCACTGGTGCAAGCACCAGTTGTCGAAGAGGCGTAAGTCGAGCTGTGCGTGTGTACATGCCAGTGTGGTCATCTTGGCCGGAAGCCAGCGTCACGCATCGGTCCTATGGCAAGGCGGGTCAGATCTCACAATAACGATCAAGCAGCTTTGTTTATATGACAGCTAGGTAGGCAGTCAGCCAGTCACCAGTGTACACCGTGTCCAAGGCGCAGGAAAGGTGGAGGCAGCGAGGTGAGGCGTCGTGAGAGCCTGAGAGGTCGTGGTTTGTGTGCGCACCCTCTCAACGTAAGCAAACATGCCCCTTGATTCAGTTTATTCTTCGCTGCGTTAACCTCTTTCGGTCCACAAGTCGTTATAGTGAGTAATGTTTGACACCGGTGACATGGAGTGTCTGCAGTTTAGCTTAAGGGAATGCCAATCAAGGGGTCATTACAATTCCGAGGCGTTTAGTAGTAGTTTTGTATAATTGAGCCAACTTCAATAAGAATGATTTTCTGGATGAAATTGCAAATCTGTGGGGCATTTTAAAATTCCTAAAGTTAATGTCGCATTTTATACAAGCGGATTAAACTGGCAATGTTCCACCAGCTTCCACCTACTGATTTAGCAAGTAAATAAAGGAATGAACAAGAGCTGCATGACACCTGCCAATTTGGAATAAATGGTTAGGAATTATCCAAGGCGCCAAGTCGTGCATAATACTGCATTCCAATGAGTGAATTTGCATATACTTTCTCTAAAAGAGGTGAGCCAACTGAAAGCCAGCTAATGCCATTTCGCATAACTTTGTAAAATATCTAGGAGAAAAATTTGCAGTTAATTCAAGAGAGAATGTTGGTAGAGGCTTTTTGTGAAAACAATTCGCTGTCTGAGTGGTAAAATAAGGTAAAAATGACATTTCATAAGTGCTCCCACCCAAATGCCACACCCGTCAACATGGAAAAAGCTCTTCCTTTATAATCTAGTACATAAGGGTGTAGTAAACCAAATAACTTTTTAAGTTGAATAGTTGTACTTACTCCTAGTTTTGTAAAGTTGTGAAATATTAAAAGAAACTCCAGAGGGGTGTTTTCTAACAAGGATTTCGACCCATTACAAGACTAGCATTAGGCGACTTTGCAAAGTGCAGATGAGGAGGTAGACGTCGACAGCCGGAATAACAAAACACCTAAATTCTTTCCGGGAGGAGTGCGTTTGGGTGTTTTGAGAGCTTTAAAGGTAGTCGATACCTCCAATAAAAACTGCACATTTTATATTGTTGTATCTACTTTTTGAAGTTATCCTGGAAATAATCTAGTCATCAAAACTTAGATACCTTAAACATTGACCATATCGCTGATTTATTTCCGTCAAGTAGTAGAGAAAGGAGTCCGTGATGCTCACTGATTTAAAAAGGTGAGTCATTTTTTGGAGGAAATCTGGCACATTCCCTATAGAGTGGGTGAATGTCCGCAGTGACGAAATTGCTGCGTTGCACACATTTGACTTAAAAGAAGAAACTACATGTCCATCTGAGAATGCATTGAATTGAATCTGAAGGCAATTTGGGAAGTTTTTGTTTCCAAACGTAGAGTGCCTAAGAGTCACTTAGACATTCATTGTAAAACTCCTAATGCACTTGGGACGTCTTCTGATCAAGTACAGCCAACACTGTGCTTCCGCATTTACGCACCGCCCAATGGAGCTTGAAGCTAATCTTTCTTACTACTTTCATACTTAGGTCTGAGTGGGAGCCGTAGTAATCACTCAGGCAGGATTGGAAATAGTATCCAAGAGCATGAATTTGACCCAATTCTGTTAGTTTTGCCCTGACAGAATTTTAACCCAAATGCATACCAACTGCTTAGCCAATTTTTTGACAAATTACTTGGGCAATGTCTAGGATTATTAAGGAATTTTCAGCTGAATGCGGCCCCCACAGAACTGATTAACCTGTGGTGATAATCATTAGGCCCGGTGGCCACAAGGCTATTGCAACAGCATTCCCTCATCAAGGTGTTTCAGAAGTTGGTTAATAGGAGACGTGGATCTTTTATAAAAGTTCTGCATTTGGTAGCACACTCTTCCCCCCCTCCGTGCCACACCAATTCAAAGTGCATATCGTTAGAAGGATTCTTCGTAAACACTGGCGGGAACCTCAGTGACATGACGCCCATAAATTTTTTGTCTACCTGGTTGCGTGCATGTTTGACTACATCGTTTAGGTTTGCAAATCTGCATCAAGCTAAGGCATCATCCTCTCAAACGCTCGCTTCCAAGGCGGCAACGCTGCTCACCCAGTCTCAGTATATAATTTTGGCGTATTCTCCTGGACCAATTTAAAACTTAGTAAATAGATAATTATACACTCGCGTCCTCCCTGTTTTGGTGACAAATTTGCCAAAAATTTTTTGCGCTATTTAGGGCTACTACACCTTGACATCAGAGAGGTCGAAAGTTTATTTAACAAAAATGGAGCTTAAAAACCCACAGAGGCAGGCCAGTTCCCTCCTTTTTAACATAAAAAATACGAAAAATGTAAAAAATTATTTGTTAAAATTTTGAGAGACTGACTCCTTTAAAAGGTGCAATTCTACATAGGTGAAAACCAGAATTTCTTTGATCAAAATAAGTGAACCAAGCAAGATTAATGCAATTAAGGCTACGG